TGTGCCACATTTTGTTTTAAATCTTTTATGTATATTAACTTATTTAATCATCACAATGACCCTATGAAGAAGGTATGATTATTACCCCCATTTTGTAGACAAGGAAGTCAAAGCACAGAGTGGTTAAGTAACTTGCCTGGGGTCACACAGCTAGGAAATGGCAGAACCAGAATCTGAACTCAGGTCGAGCACATTTTCCTAACCATTATACTATCCTGCCTCTCCACACGGGCAGAAGAGCATGCTAAAGTCAGAATTTAAAGATTAAAAAACAAAACAAAATAAAACCAGCCATTATTTTAGACCAGGGATTGGCAATTTCTTTCTGTAAAGGGCCAGGTAGTGAATATTTTAGGCTTTGCATTTCATATTGTCTTTGTCACAACGAATCAACTCTGCTGCTGTAGCTCAAAAGCAGCCATCGATAACATGTAAACAAATGCCTGTGGCTGTGTTTCAATTAGGGCGGGTGGCCAGATTGGACCCATGGGTGGTAATTTGCCAATCCCTGTTCTAGACCTCTGAGCTTTCTCAAATAGAGGTTTCAGCCAAACCTAATTACAATTGAGTATACAAACATTCTTTACTTTCATTTAAGAGCTAAGAAGAAATCTATTTTCAAAGTGACTCCTAGAAAACTGTGGAAATACAGTAAAATTGATGTAAAAACAAGCATAAGTGCTTTCTAAACAGCATGCCTCCTAGATACAAAGAATTGCCACAAAAAGGCCACAGTGTTGCATGCATCTGACAATTTGGCATTTTATTCCTTCTGAGAAGTTGTTTATTACTAAACAGTATAGTATATTTTGTCTTTCTAATTAATAATATTTTCCCTTTCTAATGTGCAATATAGGCGGGAAAACCACCACCATCTCTTATGTGCTGCTATATCTTCAATGTCCAGCTCAGACCTTGACACAGGTATTGCATGCAATAGTGAATGAATCATGTTGATGATGAAGACATTTGCATTTTTTATTAGCATCGGTATCCAGAATAATTTGACACCAGACTTCAAATGTTTGCTCTTGAAGACTTCACAGGAAACATGGAAATATTAATAAATTTCTTTTATTTTAACTGTATGAACTGTAATTTTCTTCAATATATGTGTTATGGCCACTTGTATTCATATATTAATAAAAAATTGAACTTCATAACTATGATCTGATGGGAATCTCTTCTTATTTGTCCTTTTTAAAATTTACTGTGGGTCATTTATAGATAAATGCCTCAGGGTAATGCCAACTCCAGACCTGGTTTCAAAAATGAAGTGCCCACTCCCTTTCCCTAAAGTTTCAGAGAACCATGAAGCCAAATGTATCGTCCAAGAGAAGAGATATTGGAAGCAGAGTAGTTAGTTCATTTTCTCACTATCGATTACATTAACTTACTTGGTTATTTCTAGTTTATTTCATGTTCATTTGTTTGTTTTTAAGGAAAACGGGCTGATTCATTTTTTTAAAAAAACAATATCTCCGCTAGTTTTCTGTCTGGCATTCCCTTTCTTACCTCCTCCAGGCACTACATCCCTTTCGAATATGCATAACTTATACCCAAAATGTTTCTCCAACACCCCGGGCAAGGTCTCCACGGCAAAGTTACGCTCCTCTCCGTTCTCGGGTCCACATTCTTTCAGGTAAGACACAAAAGCATCGTATGTTTTTCCATCTAGGAGTTAAGGTTGACTCTTTTAATTAGTGTGTAAATAAAAGTTTAAGTACAAATTTGAGTCAAAGTTATAAATAATGAGTATAGAATCACTGAAGAACATAGCATTGTCAAAACTCATGCTAAACAGCAATCAGTCAAATATCTTCTATAAGCATCTGCTTAAACACTCCCACTGTTCGACACCATAGGGGGATAGAGAGAAATACAAGCTATAAATCAGGGTATTAGAGGAATGAATTTAAAGACAATAAAAGTCCAAAGAGCCCAAATATACCCTTATTCCAGTAGTGGAAAGCAAATCTCCCCTTGGCTTACTTGTATCCCTTTCTACTCTCAAAATGACCCCCTAGAAACTGAAGATAGAAACAAAAGCTGCAAGTTTACACTGGGGAGAGGAAGAAATGATAGACACTAAAATAGTGTTACAGGAGGACCTGCTATGAGATTTTAAAGTATTATAGGACATTAGATATGAAAAGGAAAACTTCTGACCCATTGAAAGGTTCTCACTGATCATAATAACATCTGCTCCTATTAAATTCCTGATAAGGAGGCAGAATTCAGATGGCTAATGGAATAAATTCAGGAGAAAATGTGTTACCTAAATAACAAGTACTATTCTCCTAACTGGGTAACGAAAAACGTATACAATTCTCTCTTCTAGCTTTATCCAATCTATTTGACAAAGCAGACAAATGCACCAACTTGAGAAAAGTTACAAGCAACACGTTAGCAGATACAATTCACCAGAACACAAACAAAACTAACAAAATAACCTGGCCGGAGAATAAGGAGTGATCCCCACAGACATGCTTTCTGAAAGAAGAAAATTTTGAGTCAGGTCCTAAATAATACAATTGACCTTAACCGGGACTAGGAAGTGGTAGGTGAATGTTCTGTCGTTATCCCGTGATAACTGATTAGATGGGAGAGGAGTTAGATTTTCCTTGGGTATATTATCAGGATTAATAAATTTGCTACTGAGTTGAGGTCTACATGGTTATTACTGAATCTTTTATTAAAATCTAGGAGGACAAACATTCCAGGTCCTCTGTGGTGCCACATGATTTATGCTCAACAGCGCAGCCCAATATCCTTAACAGCATTCAGGCTCACAAAACATTTTCTGTTTCTGGCAAAAGCTTCTTCAGTTCTACCTACAGCAATCTGGTTTAGTAGTTCAAGCCAAACCTATTGTTGATGCAAAGCAATTGCTTTGCAGAATTGCATGTATATGAAAGATAGGAAATGTTGGTAAAAATTACAGAATTACATGCATATCAAAGGTAAGAAAAGTTGATAAAAATAAAACTAGTTATTAGTTTAATCATTAAGTAGGTCCCCTGGGTAATTCTCTTTGATTGCTGTGAAATATAGCTATTTTAGGTAAAAGTTAGTACTTCCATTAGTATTGTCATTGTGTCAGTGACGAACACAGGCACCAAAATGTACAACGATATGAGCACACTTTTAAAAAAGGCACATTTTAGGCTACCTGGTTAGCTCAGTTGGTTAGAGAGCAGCCTTATAACACCAGGGTCAGGGTTCAGATCCCCTTATAGGCCAGCCACCAAAAAAAAAAAAAAAAAAAAAAAAGACAAAAAACAAAAAAAAAAAAAAA